AATTAAAGTATCTTAACAGGAGAAAAGAGCTCTCTTTCTAATGAAGAGACTAGCTTATTTTAACAACCTTCAAAAAACATCTTTATGTAAAAGGATATTAGCTGCTCCTCAAGCTCCTTCTTCTACTTTAAACAAATGACTGGTCTTTATACAATTTTAAGATTATATTCATTTCATCTACCACAGTTTCATTATCTTGTTCTTCAAAAGCCAGGAAGCTGGTTAGCATATTAAAATAAAAGTTTTCTTCAGCTATGGTCTAGAGTAAAAATAGTTTTTGTTTTAAAATTAAATTTCCATAAAGCACCTTTATTAAATTTTTAAAATTAAGAACCTATTCAGTGTTATATTTGTCAATAATTCAACAAACCCTGCCCATTGTAACAGATTTTTAAAAAAGGAACATTGATAAAGATTTTGTTTTTAAAGCACACATCATTTTTAAGCAAAAACATCTAAAACTGATCATTACAGCATATCAGATTTAGAACGAATAGGAATACTGTTACTACTTGAAATAATAGTATAATTAAATAGTTGACCAGTCATTTCGTTAGAGTTCAAGTAGAGCAAATGAAGATAAAGACTTCATGTCTTGGCTTATTTAAATGCTTAAGGCCTACTACAATATTCAATGACTGTCCCAGCAATTAGATGCAAAAATATTTCCATTGCAGAAACACTTTAATACAGCCAAAAAACTTATTTCATCCCTAATGAGTATTTTTATTTAGTATACTTTAATCTCTCATGAGAAAGTGTAAATGAGATCAGAACTGTGATGCCTTCCTAAAGTGTTGCTTAATTTCCATATGAATTACCTACAATCATAAAGTTAAATCAAGAGCCAAAAACCCAAATGGATCATTAATCTAACTCCACCCAAACTCATCATTTTCATTAATTTAGCATATTCTAATGTCTGTATATTCAATGATTCAAGAATTTCTATTCTTATTCTTCCTCCACATCAAGAATTATGCAAGTTCAAACAAAATGCCAGCTTAGAAACTTACTTCTATTGCTGCCACGTCTTTTTTATCTATTTCAAAAGTTAACAGCACTGAAACTTTTTTCATGTTTTTTTAAAGATGTTAACTACTCTCTTTTCTTATTCAATGTTCCTTAACTAGTGAGTTAAAACTTGAGACAGAACTCCCTAAGAGTTACTTGTACTTGGAAGAAATATTCGTAGAACAAAAATCCTCCTCCAAGGTTCTTCCTAAGTTAGCCAGCCAGCCAGCCATCTCCCAAGTGCTAACAGTAATCACTGACACATATAAATTACTTCTGTGAGCATCTCCATCAACTCCTCTCTCTATAAAATTAAAACCACACCTTAATTGAGAAGAGATTATGACGTTCATTACTAAAAGGTGTGTGTATACTGGGCGGGGAGGAGGTGGGGTGGTTCACACCACCAAGCAATTCTCAAGACACCAACACCAGCTGAGTGTCCTTCAATTCAACTCAATTCTGAAACTATGAATTCTGATACTATCTAGAGATAGTATCAGATCCCACAGGTTAAGGGCTCAGTCCTACAAGACTGACATCCACCCATACCAACTTCAGACACCAACTGCAAGTCCAAGTTGTTACCAGCACCTCTAACCCAAAGGCTATATTCCAACAACCCCCTCTTTTGGGTTTGACTAATTTGCTAGAGCAGGTCACAGAACTCAGTGAAACATTTTACTTATTAGATGACCCATTTATTATAAAAGCATAAAACTCAGGAACAGGCAGAACGAAAAGATGCAGGGGGCAAGGTATGTGGGAAGGGACACGGGGTTCCATTCTCCCAGCACACCATTCTCCCCAAATCTCTAAATGTTCAATCTGAAAGCTCTATGAACTCAATCCTTTTGGGTTTTTATGGAGGCTCCATTACGGGTATGATTGATTAAATTACTAATCACTGGTAATTTAACTCCTAGTCTCATTCTACTCCCAGAAGGTCAGGGGGTAGGGCTTACAGTTCCAACCCTCTACTCACAAGCTTGGCTCCACTAACACCTCATGAACATCGCAAAAGACCCATGCACATACAATCACTCAGGAGTTTAGGAGCTCTGTACAAGAAACAGAGACGAAGACCAAACAAATATTTCTTATTACAAATCACAATATCACCACAAACCCAAGTTTAATCGAGGTGCTACACAATCAGGAATTCCTGTACTATTACCACCACCAAAACATAAAATGTGGCTATCATTAAGGATAAAGGATCTGTGTTAATATAAGTTGAACACTCACTATGTTCCCAATACAGTATAGGGATAAATATTCTACAAAGATTAGAAAAGATGTTCTGACTCCTGGCCATGATGGAGGCATAGGTAGATATACTATGCCTTCTCCCATAACCAAAAGAAGGACAACAACAAATTTAAAAACAAAAAACAACCAGAACTACCAGAAAATCAAACTGTATGGAAGTCTGACAACCGTGGAGCTGAAGAAGAATCATTCATCCAGACCTGTAGGAGGGGTCGAGACAGGCAGCCTGGTGGAGAGGACTCCTGGCAAGATGGCAGCTGGAGGAGTGGGGTGGGCAAGTTGCTGACTGGTGGAGTGTGCGGTCTGGTCCCACATTCTCGTGCAGGTAAGCCCGAGGAACAACTAGGGAGCGAGGCAGAGCACGCAACCCACGGTCCCAGTGTGGGAAAATAAAACCTCAAACCTCTGACTGAAAACACCTGTGGGGGTTGAGGCAGCAGGAGAAACTCCCAGCCTCACCTGAGAGTTCATTGGAGAGACCTGCAGGGTCCTAGAATGTGCACAAACCCACCCACCCGGGAATCAGTACCAGAAGGGCCCAGTTTGATTGTGGGTAGCAGGGGAAGTGACTGAAATCCCGCAGAGAGGGGAGCAAGCGGCACTGTTCCCCCTTAGACCCCTCCCCACATATAGCATCACAACGCAGCCAAGTGGGTTGCCCCGCTCTGGTAAACACCCAAGGCTCTGCCCCTTATTACAAAACAGGTGCTGGAGATAAAAAAAAATATGGCCCTAATAAAAGAACAGATCAAAGCTCCATAAAAAATACAACTAAGAGATAAAGAGATAGCCAACCTATCAGATGCACAGTTCAAAACACTGGTAATCAGGATGCTCACAGAATTGGTTGAATATTGTCAAAAATTAAATGAAAAAAAAAAAAGAAGGTTATGCTAAGTGAAAACAGGAAAAATGTACAGGGAACCAACAGTGACAAGAAAGAAACCGGGACTCAAATCAACACTGTGGACCAGAAGGAAGAAAAAACATTCAACCAGAAATGAATGAAGAAACAAGAACTCAAAAAAATGAGGAGAGGCTCAGGAACCTCCAGGACATCTATCTTTAAACATTCCAACATACAAATCACAGGGGTACAAGGAGAAAAGAAATTGAAAACTTATTTGAACAAATAATGAAGGAAAACTTTTCCAATCTGGCAAAAAAAAAAAAAAAAAAGACTTCCAGGAAGTTCAGGAAGCTCAGAAAGTCCCAAAGAAGTTGGACCCAAGGAAGTACACACCAAGGCACATCATAATTACATTAGCCAAAATGGAAGATAAGGAGAGAACCTTAAAAGCAGCAAGAGAAAGGAGACAGTTACCTATAAAGGAGTTCCCATAAGATTGTCAGCTAATTTCTCAAAAGAAATCTTGTAGGCAAGAAGGGGCTGGAAAGAAATATTCCAAGTCACCTACATCCAAGATTACTCTATCCAGCAAAGCTACCATTTAGAATGGAAGGGCAGATAAAGTGCTTCCCAGGTAAAGTCAAGTTAAAGGAGTTCATCACCACCAAGCCCTTATTATATGAAATGTTAAAGGGATTTATCTAAGAAAAAGAAGATAAAAAATATGAACAGTAAAATGACAACAAACTCGCAGTTATTAACCACACCAAAAACAAACACAAAAATCAACTAAGCAAACAACTAGAACAGGAACAGAATCACAGAAACGGAGATCACATGGAGGATTATCAGCAGGGAGGGGGAGAATGGGGTAAAGGTACAGAGAATAAGTAGAATTAATGGTAGGCAGAAAATAGACAAAGATTAAGGATAGTACAGGAAATGCAGACGCTAAAGAACTTGTATGTACGACCCATGGAGAAGAACTAATGGGGGGGGGGATGGAGGGGAATGTGGGTGTGCAGGGCAAAGGGGAATAAAGGGGGGAAAAATGGGACTATAAGAGCATAATCAAGAAAATATATTTAAAAAAAGATGTTCTGGCCATAAAAGATCACATCTATTAGTCTGTCTATAATGAGAACAATTGTCAATATTATTATTACCATTACGGGGGATGAGTATCATTATTGCCATAATAGTATCTTGCTCATTTAGGCAAAAAACAAGGAACAAGTCTCCCTGAGTGTTTTTACATTACAGGTGTTAAAATCTCCTTCAAAATGGCTCTGGCCTATTTTAATCGTTAAGTGAACAGTTCTGAACAAAATTTAAATGACTTTATATTGGAATTAATAAAACTGGTATTTATACCTCTCAAATGCAAGGCAGCTAAGCTACACTACATTGTTATTTCTGAAAGGAGTATGCCTGGCATGTTTTCTAACAGTTAATACAGTTCACAAAAGAATCTCTACTTCCTCGGGGAATTCATATAAGAGGAATACTAGAGGGATTAAAATAGCTTAAATCATTAAGTTGGACCATTACCCAAATAGAGCCTAATTCAAAGTCATTTATATTTCTCTCTGGCATGTATTACATGGGATTTGGGGGAGAATGGGTAATAAGTATGTATACCTTTCTTATGAGATACATGGTTTAAAATTTCAACTAGAATTGAGTTAACTATGGTAACAGTCTTTTATTCACAAAAGAAATCAACCGCTATCCATTAAAGTACTGCAGCATGGGCTCCACACTAATGCACAGAAAGAAAAAAACCCTGAATTTGATCAAAATCATTCTGACCAATTAAGTAGAAATGCATTAGAGAGCATTTAAGTTTGTCTGAAGAACTATTTTCTAATTTTAAAAAAGCTTGTTAGCAGAGTATACACAAGAAGAAAAATAACTGCACTAGACTGTAAAGACTGGGGTGGACCTCTTTCTTAATGTCCAGTGTCCTTTGTCTTAAGATTTGGTGCAACATGTCTTCAGAGAAAAGAAGGAAAAAAATCTTGTAAGCTGGAATCACCTTTCCAATATACTTAATCGCTTGCTAACACACAATGCAAAATTCACACACACCACAGATTTCAAGTTCCTATATAAAAATCCATGACCTTTGCTTTACCTTTCCTTGAATAAAACTTATACCCTGAGGACTGTTTCTGGAAGAATCTTATTATACCTCTCTTATTCTTCCTAAAGACCAGACAGACCTAAATCAATAAACAAAACAAAAACTGAGGAAAAAATACAGGTGGTAGCCATGAAGACTGGAAGAAGCAAACAATGTAAGTAAAATACGAGCTACTCAAGACCCCACTGGAGCTACACAGTTAAAATTACACACAGCCCAGGGTCATCAATCCTCTACACAAAAATATCAACATTTCAATACATTAAACAGTCTATTCTTGGGGTTTTCCTAAATTCCTTCAGTTTATACCCCTTTCCAACATTTTGTCCTTCTTTCCTTTTCTTTATTTCTAGAAAAAACTACCACTTCCTTCTTCAAGAAAAAAAAAAAAAAGACCCTTCCTTCAAGAACTAACTACAACCACCCCTTGCCTTATGTAAATTTTAATATACATACTTTAAAATGAACAACAGTTGGCAAAAACTGTTAACTCAAAGACTAATAACTTCGCATTTATCTGGTTACTTTATTAGTCTCTTGAAGGACAATGATGTGTCCTCCTCTGCTCACTCTTCCTTGTAGTCTTACTATTAATTGTAAGACTGCATCTACCCGGCCAGTTAGTACCTTTAAAAAAGTTGTCAAGATTGTCTAGAGACAAGGCTGGCTCCAGGTCAATAATTCGATCTTGAAATAATTTTTGATTTCCAACGAAGAGATGAATGCCTTCCCTTTTCTAGGTACTTCCTGCTGCAAAAGAGCTCGAAATCAGCCTGGTTGATCAAATTATTGCATAACTTTATTATCCACACACTTTCAACAACCCTTTGATCAATGAAGATAAACATTTAAAGCAATGCTGAGCAAAAAATAGCAAGACACAGAAGCCAAAGTATGTTTATTTAAAATTTTAATACAGGCAACACTACATTATTTAGGAATACACAAAGAATTATACCACCTATGAAGAAAAGTAAGAATGTAATTACTATAAAAGTGGGGAGGGGGAATGAAAAAGGCTTTTGAGGTGGTAGCAATGTTCTATTTCTTGATCTTGGTAATTATCACATGGGTTTTTATTTTATAATTGGTCACTACATTGTAAATTAGGCTTATATTCTTTTCAGAATGTATCATTTCACCATAAAAATTTTTATTTAAACAATGAAACTAAACCCCTTCTTGCAGATAATAAGAGCCTTTGTAGAACACATCCCTTGCTTATGTAAACTTACATAAACATTTAAGGCATTCTCTAAGAATATCTCAAAAAACTACAGGAGTGCTCCATAGTTTTTCCTGTAGATTACACAAGATGGTATAATAGTTTATTTTAACAATTAAACCTTAAATAGGGTAGACTGCACTTTATTTACTGGAGTTACTGGTGTTTGAAGAATAGGCATGAGGTGCTAAAAGAAGATCTTAAAAAGTTCTCACAAAAAATTTGTATAACTATGTACAGTGATGAATATTAACTGGACTAACTCTGGTAATCATTTTGAAATGCATACAAATTTTGAATCATTATATCATACACCCAAAACTAATATAACATTATGTTAATTATACTATGCATATCCACACACACAAGATACATATTATTAGATTTCACTAAAGAAAAGAACACAGTACTGTGAAGAAATATATTTTACTGCCTGAGAATAGCTAATAAACCTGTAAGGCATGAAGTGAAATGAAAAGGAAACCTCCACCCAAAAAACATTATCAACTTGATTATCGACTAATTGTCAACACTTCACTAATATAAACAAAATTTCTTTATGTCTTCATGCAATATTTCCCTTTGGACAGGAATGACAGAAAAAGCCAAAAATTAAAGCTTGTAAACTTAAACTATGAGAACTATTAACTTATGGAAATTACAGGTAACTGATGAACACAATTTTTTAAATCACTAATCCTAAAAGATGTTAAACTTGACGGCAAAAGCTGTTCCAATAGCTAAACTTGAATTGCTAACATTTCCAATACTGTGGTAGAACCTAACTTTCCCATACCTTCTGAAATAAGTTTCAAACAACTTCTCATAAAACTCCCTCCAATGCAAACATAGGTGCAAAGAAAACAGAAAAGCATCTAGCCAAGGTACAACTGCACCACCTTAGAAAAGGTGCTCCGCCCTTCTCATAGTCTGCTTCTTAGCCCGGAAAACAAGACAAGCCAACAAGCCAACGTGTAAGTACTCTACATACTCTACAAGTCCCTTAAGCTAAAGAACTCTGGGTCTGTTCTAAAATTTTAGCTTCCACCCTTTAGTGGAATGGCTTAATACTTTCAACTTCATTAATATGAACTTCTTACAAACAAAATAAATTCAAATGTAAACATTTAGTTGGATTAAATTACCTTTTCCTCTCATTCAGCTGTTCTCTTAAAATTGCTATCTCTGAAAATTCCCTAGTCATCCATATTTAAAAACTTCAAGTCATCACCAAATCTTCTCTTTCCTACATTAAAGCAAAGTAATTAGCCACCACCAAGCTAGTGAGCTTGGCTAGAACACAGATTGTGCCCAGGCATTTTGATAGGCCAATATGTTAAGACTTAAATCAGGACAGCTGATTAAAAAACAAATTAAATGAAGGACACTTTCATTTAAGTTGGCCTTGGAGGCAGAGGATGCAGTAAAAAGGACATAGATGGACATGTATTATTCAAGTCTTGTGGGGAATACCAAATTGAAATATCTTTTATTCATAGAAATAAGAGATGTTACCCAATCTCAATTTTGAGATCTACATCAAGTTGTAAGACACTGTAAAAACTGAATGTTTACTATCATTTACACCATTTATTAGTTACCCTACAACACTAAGTTCCACAGAAAGAATAACAAATGGTCACAGATGGTATGGTCACTTTAATTAGGGTACCAGTCACAATTCCTTAGAAATTCACTTATTTAAGAACAGTACAAACTTGACTGACATAGAGGCATTCACCACCTTATATACAGGTAATATTCCAAAATATGTGTAACTGTCTTTCTTGTTAAACTATGAAAGCATTTTTCCAAAGAAACAGAATTCCATATAGCAGTTAGGTTTCCTGGCAAACAAATGCTAGTAACCTACATTTACCTAAAATATAAGAGCTTCTTCTAACCCTTACTTAACATACTCCTACCTGCCCCCAAATTCTATAGTATTACCACTTCCTATATAAATTTTTAAATCCTTGGAAATTAGTCATGGTAAAGTGAGGACACTGAAACCTCAGAAAAGAGTAAGTGGCTTAAGAACAAAAACGAACCACCAGAATCAGGTAACTCAAATAAAGGAGTGAAGACAGAGTAACCATTTACATTTCTTTCCCTTTTGATGTATTAATTTGCTCCATGTATTATATTTGTGATTCCTATATTACTTGAAAATGTTTTTCTTTTTTCCTATTCATCGTAGGAACTGTCAGGAAGCCCCTTTTGCATATATAAAACTAAATTAAGTATTATATCTGGATAAAACATGGCAAAGAAAGAACATGAATAAGACAGTAAGCAACAGGCTGACCAATGAAAAGCTTCTAATAATTCAAAAGAATTTAGGAATTCCACACAATTAAGTCTAATAAAACCATCACAAATACCCTTCTAACAACTTCTGAGTTTCTCCTCAAACATCAAATTCAGCAAAGTCAAGTTATTCAACTAATGATGTACTCAGGTAAGTTACTAACCAAAACCCAGAATGAGTAAATCTGATTCTAATCTGCCGTCCAATTGAGGAGCATGTAGAAAGAGTATTTATACCCATTATGTTCAAGTACTATAGAAAATGAATGCTATCCAAAAATAAGAGGTCCTTTTTATTGTGGACTTAGGGAAAAAAGACAATATTCTTTATTTTGCATGAATGGTATACTATCAGTATCTATAAGCAAGGTTTAAAAGCAGTAATGCCTAGATGGAAAGATGATGAGGAAAACACTAACTGTAGAATCTAGGTGTTGAGTAGGAGTGTTCACTATAAAAAATCTTTCAACTTTTCGGTATGTTTGAAGTTTCATAATGTAAACAATTTTGAAATATGTAGATATGTTGCACTGTGCAGTATTTTATAAACTTTGTAATTCAGGTTAACACGGTATTTATTCTCTCTCTCTAAAAGCATTAAGCTTTCACAGATTGGGAAAAGATGATTTGGTCACTCAAAAATAATAATCTTTCCACTATGTTTGGCAGCACGTATGCACTGATGGATACTAAGCTAATTCAACAAAAAGAACTTTTAACATTTTCTCATATTAGAAAGCACTCAAAACTTACTGACAGAATACAAATCAGAGACAGAGTAAGTAAAGTCAGGCCAGTAAGTTTCCCCATAGTTCTTAACAACTGGGTCAGAGACTAAAACCTAAATCTTTACTTTGAGTTTCTCATGCTTGGTCTACAGTACAGCCAATGTTGCCTTTATGCAAATTACATATGCATATGGCAGTAAGGGGTATTCAGTCTTACTAAGTTAGTACTCAAGAAAACCCTAAAATAAAAGAAAAAATTCCAAAGTCTTTGCTGACAGATCCTAACTAACCCAGGACCTATTATATATGCCTCATGAAACCCATGATTACTACCTACAGGAGCCACCACACTCACCCTAAATGGGAGCAGGTCCAATCCAGCATCTCAATGCACTCACTCCCTGCAGCTCCTCCCTAAATGTTCTTGTACCTTAAAATGATCTCAAGAGCTCAAGGCTAGAAAAAACTTAAATTACCTCATATGAAATCAGTGACAGTATACCTGTTTTCAAGTGCAGCTGAACTGCTGTTGCTAATGATTCCGCACTTTTTTTTTTTTAAGATTTGGGGACGCTTTGTTCTAAAA